AAAAAAAAAAAAAAAAACCAAGAAAAAAGAGAAAAAACTTGAAGGGTCATTGTTTTTAGTTTGATATTGTTAGTAAAATCAAATGCCTTTGTTTCATCGTTTTGCTTTACTTATTTATGCTTAGAAACTGCTAAATTCTAATGTATAATCTTGTCATTTATGGCCTTCATCATTTAAGGGTTATTTCTTTTATCTGAGTAACAATAATAAATCTGTATAGGGTTGTAGATACTAGGCAGACTTGTTCAGTCTATATGCAAAATACTTGGATAGTGGTGCACAATTCAATGGAATCATCTGAGATCAATGTTTTAAAAAAGGTGCACTTAGTCTCATATGTGAGATTCATTTCATGGGATGCACCTCAACTAAACTCAAGTGTGCCTCACCTAGCTCCTAGCTTGTTGCTATATTTTGATGTTTTAACTATGAGTTTGGTGTCAAATACATAATTTACCATATTATAGGATGTGCATGATAGATGGAGTTTAAACAGGTATTATAAGGTATTGACACCATCTCTTTTACACAACCAGGTATTTTGTCAACCCATTCACTATGTCAAGTAGGATCATTTGTTTTTTGCTTTTTTATCAATACCAAGAGAAATTTTATTAAAAAGAGGAAAAGATACAGAGGCTACCCCATTACAAAGATAGGCAATACAAGACAGGCAAACCAAGAAGTAAATCTTGAAGCATTACATCTGAGCCCAAAATTGGTGTACCCTGGTTACCCCTTGCTTTGCTAGTTGATCTGCAAAACTATTAGCCAACCTTGGCACCCACTGAAAGTCCACTAGCAAATTTGTCGATAGTCTTCTAACCTTTTTAATCTCATTTTGAAAGTACCATGGGGCCTTTTCAGTCTGTTTCAACCAGCTGATGACTATTTTTGAATCTCCTTCAACTATCAGCTTATCAACTCCTATTTCAACAGCTTTTTGTATTCCAAACACCAAAGCATTCCATTCTGCAGTTATGGAGTCCCCTGGACTGAGAGGGCCTAAGTATAGTCCCAAGATAACTCCACTACCATTTCTTATTACCCCTCATATTCCTAAAGGACCCAGATTACCCAAGCTGCTTCCATCAAAATTTAATTTAAGGAAGCCATTCTCCGTAGGGCTGCAAGTCGGGCCGGGTTAGGTCGGGTTGAGGCCAACCCTAAGTTCTAAATCCCAACCCTAACCCTAACCCAACCCAACCTTCAATCCGACCAACCCAACCTTAACCCTAACCCAACCCAACCCAACCCGAAGTCAATTTCGGGTTGGGCTGGGCTCAGGTTGGGCCCAACCCAACCTTCTTCCCATCCTTTAAAACCTCATAAATTTCTCGATTTTAGATCTTAACTCAACTTTCACTACATATGTTAATCCTATGTTTCATTAGTATTTGCTTGTTGACGGTTTTTTTTTGGTACACAATTCAGAAAAACAAGTGTTAGAAATAACCATAGTTTATCATGAGTTATGGCTTACGATAGATCTTTCTTGGGCGGCAAACAACATAGAGGAGATGAAGAATAAAATTTTCATAAAAAAACATAAAATAATATTATTAAGGTTTTAATCTTTTTTATTACGATTAATTGAATTGATTATCTTAAAAGAAATACATGATACTATGTGGTGGGGGCTATACAAATATCATGCATCTAAACAAATCAATGTATGTTATATATTACATATAACATATATTTATACATGACATGTATGGGGTTTGGGTTGGGTCGGGTTGGCTAAGGGGTCAACCCTAACCCAACCCAAAGTAAAGTCGGGTTCATGAATTTCAACCCTAACCCTAACCCGAGCATCAACCCAACCCAACCCAACCCAATTTTTTCGGGTTGGGTTCGGGCCAACCTGGCCCAAGTTGCAGCCTTACTCCGGTGGAACCCATGATTTTACCAGTTTCCTCTTTGAAGATGAAGTTGCAATTATCTTCCAGTTTCTGATTACATCATCAAAACTAAAGTCCAAGAGCAGACTTGAAGCCTTAATCCAGTGTGCACCCTTACCACGATTCCTTCTACCTGGAGTGTTCCACCTGGGCACTTCTGGGAGGTGCGGCTAGGGTTTTCTGAGTAGACATCAATCTTTTTTGAGATCAGCAGCTTGGAGGAGACTGGTACGGCTGAACTTTCTTGATTATCTCTAGGACTGGTGCCATTTTTTACTGAAAAATATCAGTTTTTTGGGTGCAACAGAATTTTTTCCTTGACAATCTCTAGTTATAGTAACGGACTTTACTGAAAAATATTTAGTTTAGGGCTCTGGGTATTTCAGAACTGTTTTTTGTGCTGGACTGCTATAAACTACTGAGAATAGATCAGCTCTAGGGTTCTAGGCATTCCAAAACTGTTTTTGTTGGGATGAATTGCTATACAAACTCTTTTTCAGCCTCTTTTTTCTGAATATCTATGAATCTTGGTGGTGTGGTTTGCATGGAGGCAGTTGGGAAGGAACCAAAATTCTAATAATACATTTCAGATCACTACTGTTAAGTTTGATGGGACAGGTTACCTAGAATGGGCTCAATCGGCCATGATGACCATAGGAGGAAAGGAGAAACTGGGATATGTAACTGGAGACACAATAGAAATTACTTATGGGGGAAAACTATCTAGTGATGACTTGGTTGTGCAACTCTATGCAGCCTCACATCAATAGAAATTACTTATGGGTGAAAACTGCTAAGGAAATTTAGGAGAATATGAAGGAAATCTACTCACAGCCCCTAGGACCTATGAGCTGAAAAGTGAAGTGAATAACCTTAAACGAGAGGAGAAACCTATATCTGTATATTCCTCCACTCTGAAATCTCTGTGGCATGAGATTGATCACTTGGAGACCATTGAATGGGAAAGCCAAAAGGATGCAACAACATATAGGAAGCTGGTTGAAACCAATATAGTGTTTGAATTACTTGCTGGACTGAATTTAGAATATGACATTGTGAGGCAGTAGTTACTTACTAGGGATAGTGTCACTCTATCTCAGGCCTATTCACTAGTACATAGTGAAGAGAGTAGAAGGAAGGTTATGTTACAAATCCCATCCATGGAATCAGCCTTGGCAGCAGTGAAACCAAAGCCTATTGGTAATAAGGAGAAAGAAATAAAGAGGGAAGACAAGAGGGAGATGGTTTCTGATTATTGTAAGAAGCCAAAGCACACCAGGGACACCTGTTGGAAGTTGCATCCCTACCTTATCCTAGAAAAACTCAAGAATAAGAAGGGTAGTGCCGATGTAGATGTTAGTTCTGATGGTGCATCTTCCTCTACTACAAAATCTACATCCCTAGATGCCTTAGCTGTAGCCAGAGCCGCCTTAACTCAATTAGAGTGTGAAGTTGGAGCCTTAGGATCATCCCAATCATTTGGATCATCTACTACTACACAAAGGAAAACGCTGTTGCACCTCGTCAACTGTCCATTTCATCTCTTAGTTTCTTTCTTATGACCACCTCTCACCATCATACAAATCCTTTTTGGTGTCCATTGCTGCTATACCCATTCTTAGAACAGTGCATGAAGCCCTAGAAGTACTTGAGTGGAAAGAAGCAATGAAAGTAGAGATGGATGCACTTATCAAAAATGATACTTGAGAGCTACTAGATCAACCAAGAGGGAAGAAACCGGTTGGGTGCAAATGGATATTTACTATGAAGTACAATGTAGATGGCTCAATTGAAAGATACAAAGCCCGACTGGTTGCTAAGAGATATGCACAGACTCATGGTATTGATTATGTAGAAACCTCTGCACCAATTGCCAAAATGAACACAATCAAAGTGTTATTGTCATTTACTGCAAACCTTTGCACCAATTAATCTCATCGTTGTTCTAGATGGATATTAAGAATGCTTTTCTGAATGGTGATCTCTAGGAAGAAGTATATATGCAATTGCCCTTGGTTTCTATGATGAAGATAATGGAAAGAAAGTCTACTGACTTAAGAAGACTTTGTATGGTTCGAAACAGTCCCCAAGGGCATGGTTTGACAAGTTTAGACGTGCCTTGGAAAAATTTGGCTATATACAGTCTCAATCAGATCACACCCTATTTCATCCCTAACTCTCTTGGTTGTATATGTTGATGATATTATGGTAACAGGCAATTACAGTGATGAGATTAATTCCCTCAAGAAGTTACTTAGTAAGGAGTTTGAAGTGAGATTTGGGTGATTTGCGATATTTTCTAGGAATTGAAGTAGCTAGATCTAAGCATGGTATCTTCATTTCTCAGAGGAAATATGCCCTTGATCTCTTGGAAGAAACTAGAAAGTTGGAAGTTAAACCAACAGATTGGTTGGAAAGCTTTTCTACCTTTGCTTAACACTGCCAAATATTTCTTATGTTATCAGTACTGTCAGTTAATATATGTAGTCTCCCATAACATCCCATCTTGCAATTGAAAGGATACTTGCCTACTTAAAGAGGTGTCGAGGCAGAGGTATACTCTTCAAGAATAATGGTCATATGAAGATAGAAGTGTACACTAATGCATATTGGGTTGGTTATGTGGATGATAGGAGATCTACCTCATGGTACTGTTCTCTTATTGGAGGCAATCTGGTTTCTTGGAAAAGTAAAAAACTAGTGCTGAAGTAGAGTACAGATCTATGGATAATTGGGTGGCTGAAGTGTTATGGCTGAGATCTATGGATAATGGGGTGGCTGCAGTCTTACCTTGTAGCTTCGGAAGAGAAGGGAGTGGATGGAGGGAAGGCAACTGGCCAAAAGTTTGAAGACCAGAATAAAAAAAACTCAGGAGGCAGCATCGATTGGTACCTCTGGGAGTGTAGAAGTGCAAGGCCATTTGAGTCCTGAAATGGTGGTTGCTTGCTCTTCTATTCATCGAAGAATATTGGTAGGAGTGGGGAAGGAGGAATGGAAGAAAA